ATAAGCCCCCCCCCCCCCCCCCCTTGTTCTGCCGAAGCCTCGTCAATTGCATAATACCTGCCAGGCTTCGCACACACACTCCCTTTTGCTTCTCTTTCCTTCTCCCCCCACCCAATTTTCCAACCTTTTGGACAGTGCCTTTTTGCTAGAGGACACGGCAGTCCGTCCGCTCGTTTTGCGCGTCGCCTCAGACTTCTCGACATCGCAGGCATCGCCACGACCTTGGCCACTACCATTGACGGAACTCATCACAGCGCCATACATTCATATCCATCATGTCTGAGGAAAAGTCTCGCGTCTCTGGCGAGGTTCCCCGCGCGGAATCCTCGTCGCCCGTCTTGCCCACGGTCAATCCTGCGGCTGAGAAGCCTCAGCCTCCCAAGTCTGTGGTTCATCCTGCCTTCTACGTAATGTAAGAACGACCAATGATTCTTTAGCCGAGGAGGAAAATGCTAGCACGATGACATCGTTGCTCGTACCACAGCGCTAACATGAAGCCCTCTAGTGTCTGGATTGGTTTCAGCTCGTCGGTTATTCTGTTCAACAAATGGGTTCTGGATACATTGAACTTCCGTATGTTTTCCAACCTCTGCTTTTACGACTCGTTGTTCCCGGGGGAAATGAACAAAAGACGAGTTGTGCTAATCCAAGTCGTCGTCCAGGTTACCCCGTCATCCTCACCACCTACCACATGGCCTTTGCGACTGTTGCTACACAGCTGATGGCTCGATTTACCCCTCTTCTGGATGGTCGAAAGACTGTCAAGATGACTGGCCGTGTCTACCTGCGTGCTGTGGTGCCCATCGGCCTGTTTTTCAGTTTGAGTTTGATCTGTGGAAACTTGACCTATCTCTATCTTTCGGTCGCCTTCATCCAGATGCTCAAGGCCACCACCCCTGTCGCCGTCTTGATCGCTGGATGGTCTCTGGGAGTCTCTCAGCCCAACCTGAAGCAGTTCCTCAACGTGTCCGCCATTGTTGTGGGTGTCATCATCGCCTCGTTTGGTGAAATCAACTTTGTCTTGATTGGAGTCCTGTACCAGATTGGCGGCATCATCTTTGAAGCTCTCCGCCTTACCATGGTCCAGCGACTTCTGAGCTCTGCCGACTTCAAGATGGACCCTCTTGTCTCCTTGTACTACTTTGCGCCTGTTTGCGCCGTCATGAACGGTGTTGTTGCTCTCCTGTGGGAAGTCCCCAAGGTTTCCATGGCTGATGTGTACAATGTTGGTCTCTTCACCTTCTTCCTGAACGGTCTTTGCGCCCTGATGCTCAACGTGTCCGTCGTTTTCTTGGTAAGTAGTATTGTAACAAAACAAAATGGAGTTTCAAGGATGCTAACAGCAAACCCTAGATTGGCAAGACCTCCGCTGTGGTCCTCACCCTTTGCGGTGTCCTCAAGGACATCATGCTTGTTGTTGCCTCTATGATCATCTGGGGCACTCCTGTCACTGCCCTCCAGTTCTTCGGTTACTCCATTGCCCTGGGCGGCATGGTCTACTACAAGCTTGGCTTTGAGCAGCTCAAGGGCTACATGGGCGAGGCTAGCCGACAGTGGGCCGAGTTTGGTGCTCGCAAACCTGTTCTGCGCAAGATTGCCATCATTGTTCTCGCAGTTTTCATCTTCTTTTCATTGTTCACTGCTCTGGCTCCCTCATACTCCTATGACCCTACCAGGCTAACCAACACCGTTGCTGGTCTCGGTAAGACTCGCTCACAATAAATGACCAACCGCCAACGCTCTGTAGGCGAGTGGGCTTTTGGCCACTTATATGCAACTTTTTTTTTCAACATGGCAGAGATGTTATCGCGCGTCGGTCGCGCATAGAGGTGCTTCCAGTATCCGCAGCACGTCACTGTTGGCAGTAGCAAGGAAGGGTTCTTTTTTTCACGCTACTTTCTTCTTTCAGTATGCTTTTTCATTTTCATTTTCATCTTTTTCTTTTTACTTCGAATATGCCATTACGTCCGGCACAGCTGTTGGCCAAACAAAAATCCAACTTTGTGAGCTCTGATTTTTAATTTGGAGACAAGGGAAAGAGGCTATGAACTTTTTTAGTCGGTTGTAAGAGAGACACGCCTCTCAATCGTATTACGCATATAGAGCAAACTTGGGGCGCTGGGCGCTGGAGCGCATTCCTGGGCGGAGCTTGCACGGGACGCGGCATTATGAAGTGTCTAATCTGATGTACCTTAGACGGCGTTTGACCTATAGAAACGTAGAGATGAAATAGCCAAATTTGGGCAACGACGTGAGGCTGAGTGAGCCGAGATTTTGGTGAAGCCGAGGCTGACTGTACCCTCAGCTTGCACGTCGGTCCAATTGAACGGGTGTCGCACGAATACAATAAACAGTTGTTGAACAAGTTACAGATGAAGAGTTTGATACCCTTCAAGATGTATCTGCAGCCACACGTATCCATAGCCCATCATAACGCAACAACGTCACGCCTCACAGCACCAAGTCAATCACATAACTGGTCACAAAGGCTGTAAATGGTGGTCAATTCCAGAGTATCATGTCCTGGAACAACCCACCACAATGCCAGACAGCAACCCCCAAAACACCATGCAGTTTAAACCACATAAACCAGATGCTTTTTGTTGCGTTTGCAATTTCCCCCTCCCGTATGCACAAGTTTGTGATTCTTCACGCGGCAATAAGAGCAGACTGGATGTAAAAAAATGAATTTTTAGTTGTGTTTAATGAACTTTGACTTCATTGAGCCCATAAGCCTTGCCAATTGCTCCCTACAGCCTGTGTCCCGCCAACTCCCGGTCCGTAACGTTTAAAATCCTACAGCCCAAAGTTAGTTGCGACTCTCCAGCTGCTGCAAAATCACACCCCTCGCATTGAAAGCAAGACACAGGAATTGACTGCGTGGCAAAATAGCAAAGGACGGTGGGGAGACATACGCAGAGGGGTAAAGAACCAGCGGTTCTTGCCGCTTTTGTAGCGATCCTCCAACACAGTCTTGACCGTCTTCTTTGCATCCTCGCGCTGGGAAACCTCCTTGAAGGTCTCGCCGGAGATGGCGCCCTTGAGACCCTCCAGCTCGAGGGTGTATCGCGTGGGCATCAGGTGGTTGTAGTTGATGACCTTGATGAAGGGCTTGATCTTGGATCGCTTCTCCTGGCGGGTCTTGGACATGCGGCGCGTGATCTTGGAGGGGTAGCGCTCGATGCCGGCGACGACGGCGTGGCCGAAGGGGTGAGGCTTGTTGCCGTTGTCGACGGGCTGGATGATGACGACCTGCAATGTCCTGTCAGCGACTTTGTTTCTGGCTTTTTTTTTTCCTTTGCTGATCGCGCGTCTCGAGTGGATTGAAGAAATGTTGGGAAGCGTCTAGTTTTCAATTATCCGGCAGTGTAGCGAGCATAGGTTTTGGCTCGATTTCCACGCCTTCTTCTCCTCATCTTCCTCGTCCCGTCCTGTCTTCGCGCACTTTTCTTCCCTGCATCCTGCAATGGGATCCGATTCGAGGGATTGGCAAACGCTTTCACTGCCGGGACAAGACGCTTTGTGCATTCTGTGTCTTAGTTTCAAATCGTACCTTCTTGCCGGCATATCGGCCGCGGGTGATGATGGCGACTCGGCCGACCTTGAGGAACTTCATTTTGCCCTGCTGTGTGGTCGGGTATGTGGTTAGTTGGAGGGGGGGGGGATTTCGACGTCGTGGACCGTGGACGTAAGAAATTCCTGTGCAAATTTTGGGGTTTGTGGGTTTGGCAAATTTGGGGCAAGCGAGTGCATGTGCGCTATCACGTGATTCTCGAGGGACCTGCGCTTGAAGTGCTGTGCGCTGTGATTGGTGAATATGGGGGCAAGTGGTGTGCTTGTCATGACTGTGCAAGCTCGATAGTCAGCGTACTCTGTACTAGCTAGCTTCTACTCCTCTTGATAGCTCGGGCCGAAGCTTCGTTCAGGAACTATTGCATCGCTCGCGCCGAGATTGTCACGATGCCTGCTCCTACGTACATCATCTCAAAGGTCGCTGACCCCATTTTTGCCGTCTTCATTGGCATATCAGCTGCGGCCATGCGCATCAATCGGGAGGAAAAGGCCAAGGGGCACACGACCCAACAGACCATCGACAACGGCTTGCGGTATGTAGAGGAGCAGACGATTCTTGGCCTGAACACATTGCTGATCACATCACATCTCAGGCGTATCGGCTTGTCCAAGAAAACAGCATGATTTTTGCATCAACCCGGAATCATTTAAACGCCTGCTTATGATGTAACCCTAGCAAATGACCCTAATCCAACGCTCCAATAACTACCCCGTGGCCATAAGCCAGAACCTCTTGCAATTTTTCTTTTTCTTTTACTTCTCCTTCTTCTAGCTCCGGCTCAATGATACTCTTTACGCATCAAAAGACGGCCCGTATTCCTTCTTCATGGCCTCCCGAACAATCTGCCCGCATAGCTTGGCTGTCGGGTTGACGCTCACAGCCAGCCCCTTTGCAATCTGATTACCATAGCCACCACCATACGCCAAGTCGTGCGAGGCAGCCTGCTCAAACTCGACGCGGTTCCAGTTGGCCTCGGCTCGGCTCTCGTCGATATCCAGCAGTCGGTCGGACAGCAGCTTGGACGTGCGGAGGTAGATGGCCGCGCGCTGCGTGTAGGCCATGGACAAGGTTCGTGCTGCCTGGGGCGAGATGGGAGTCGACAAGGTAGCTGGCGATAGTAAAGAGATGGATGTTTCCAGGTCTTGTAGGGCGCGGACGGCAGCCTTCTTCTTTTCCGTGGCGTCAGGCTGCTCAATCAGTGGCAGTGGCATGCCGGTGGTGATTTCGAGCAGCATGGCGTCTCCGTAGAGCCTTCTGGTGATTTGGGCGCGGTTATTCCGAGCGCTGGCGTACTTGGGAAATTTTGAAATGAGAGTGTCTAGCTCGGCAAGGCAATGTTGATACCCCTGTATGGCTGTTTCGTTTGCATCTTGTGATTGGGATTCGCTGAACTCGGTCTCCAGGGCCTGGATTTTGGCAATGATGTTGCGCTCTTGCTGCACAACCTTGTCGTAGTCGGCCGAGTTGGTGACGTGGGGGTCGCGGGGCAGCGACTCGTCGGTGATGACGCCAGCAGCCGGGTTGGACTCGGGGTCCTTGATCTTTTCGAGGACGTTGACGTCTCGCGTGCTCAGATTGACATGGGCCATGTTGTTTGCGTTGCAGTGGCAAGTGCGGTGAATGTCAGACTCTTATCTCGGTTCAGGTTGGTAACGTGAGCAAAGAGATATGCAGGTTGATGGAGGGGCACAGTATGGCTACTCTCCCAGCCAGATTCTCCCCCTTCTCTTTTTCTCTTCTTTTTCTTTCCTTTCTTTCTAAAGAAAATGTACATCCAGCACCGAGGCCAGGCGGGATGCAGACGCTTTGAATACCGTCAGTGGCAATCCAAGTCCAGTGAGCCGATCGTGGGACGTGCGGGATGCCACCTCACAGTTCGCAATACAGCGGCAAAGCGGAACCCCCCCAAAGCCGGGACAGCTTCACCATGTGGACCGTCAATGGAACCAGAACGCTCGAGAAGTGCATGTGGCAAGGAAGAACTACCTGCTTTTTCATCGCCTTGCTGTTCCCCGCCATGCGCCATGCGCAGCACCGCCAGAAGATGTGGAGAATGCCGTCGACGGTCGCATCGATCAGAGGCATGAGCCGCGCGACGACGGCAGGAATGGCAGACTCCAGGTGGGCCGGCAACAGGCGGCTTACTTCGGCTGCAAGCCTGCCGTGCGGAATCGTACCGTGACGGCGGTCGGCTCTGCCGCCGAAGATGGAGGGGCCGCTTCGGATGTGGTGGAGCGGGCTCACGGCGCAAGCTGAGCCTCATGGCAGGGCGAGCATGATGGCTGCAAGTGCGTCGTAGGCCAGATCATCTCACTTGCAGTACGCGCACGAGCATTTGCTACGCTCATTGGCTCATTGTCTCTGCACATGAGCATCATTGCATGTATACCGCGGGCAAACACCAGGTAACAACAAAAGGGCAGCAAACAAACATGTCCAGTCTTGTCAGATGCGTCCGCACACAGCAGTCCGGAAAATCAACAGAAATTCCCAAGGTTGATACGCTGGCTCTGCTAGAAGGCCTGAGACAAGATGATTTCCCTGCCGGGCCCCGATCTGGTAGTCTCCCAAAGACGCCACCCCAGTCTCGGCGGCCTAGCACCCTTTACTTAGACCGCGAGATGCCATGTGCGGGCGATTTCCGGGGGGGGGGGGGGGGGGGCGAGCC